TTTTCGCTTCCAATTTAGAGTGTGAGGCATCAATGAAGTGCCCGCCACGTGGCGTGGCATGTTTCATGGTTAGAAAGGAATGCTGCAATCATGCATGTGTTGAAATGTTGGATTACACAAGAAGGCAAGTTCATTCAAGAAGAGAAAGTACATCACCTCACCTGCAATGCAAAGGCTTTATGGACAACATTTTTTCGCCGTTTTGGCTTGCAGAGAGACGTTGTGTGGCCAAACGTGCCAGCAACACAACAAAAGGGCAATGCCAAATCATGATGGTTCCTTCGTAGGTCACACTGTTTGGTGAAAAGTGCAAAACGAAGAACCCCAGATTGAAAGACTTCCAATTTTGTTGGTAGCGTAGATAGCTTTAAATCGGAAAGTGAGCAGTTGAGCATCGCTGGTCGCATCATTCCTTCTGTCAGCCCTTTTCTTCCACAGTGGCCTTGGATTTGCAACAGAGAGATGGCCGGCCATGTCCTTTGCTGGCATTCTTCGCCGTGGCGCATTCCGTTCCCTTGCCTGCACCCAGTCGAGGGTCGACAGGCCTGGCTCCTGCAGAGAATTCTGCATCAAGGTAGATATGTTGGCAACCAGTTCTTTCCACTTTCAACATACTCATCAAAGTCATTTTGCGATCTCATTTTTCGCCCCCTCCATTTTGCCGTTTGCACGACACCCGTCTTGATGTCTTGGCTCTCCGCCAGGTCAGTGCTCTACTGGGCGGAACAAAGTGCTACGGGCGTCACTTTAAGAGATCTCTGCCAGATTGGACTGGATCGAATCTTGACGGAGTTACGACATGGAATTTCGCCGCAAGTGACCTGGTGTGCCTGGAATTCCTTTTCCTGTTTCGGTGAGGAAATCTGCGCAGGGAGCATGGGGTCTTTCTGCATCGTGAGCTTCGCATCCGCCTTGCGCAGAGGGTCTTGGAGCTGGAGTCCCTGCCGTGCCTCGGAAGAGCCCAGATGTGTGTGACAGCTGTCAAAATGGACAATTTGTAGAGGGCAGAATGTCAGCTGTCAACTCTACTCTGCTGCTTGTGCTACTTGGTTTGGCGAGGGCATTTTGCAAGGTGCTTGCGGGCGGCCGGAAAGATTTGTCTTTGAGGGATGTATACGTTCATATAATATGATTCACACATATATATATATATATAAATATATACGTATAAATAAACATATATATATATGTATAAATTCATAGTACTGTACTGTACTGTACTGTACTGAATAATTATGCTACATACCTTTGGTATATATTCCCCAAGGCAGGTCAGCATATAGGAAATGGTTTCTTCATGAAGGCAAATGCAGATTCAACCCAAGGGCGCAGACCAACATGACCAACGGGGAGTTGGGCAGGTAGACCAAGCGGAGGTACCGACTGGGCGAAAGAAGTGGCATCCGGGATGTGATTGAGTGGTACACTGGCTTCGTGCACCTGCTGGAGGACAAACGATTTCTCCTTCAGTTTGGTGTTAAACCGATTCAACAGCCTACGGCGCCTAATCCATTTCACACCCAGGTGCTCAACAGCCCTGTTGGAACAAGCGTTGTATTTTACGTGCATGAAATGTGGTTCATGGAGTCTGTCTCTTTGGGTTTTTGTTCATTTCCAGGAGTCACCTGTACCGTACACGGAGGAACTGGATAAAGAGTTCACAATGCTACTGACTCGTGTCTTCGAGGAGCATTCCGAAGTGATTCAGGCAGAGTGTTTGGCCAGTGAGGGTTGGCACAAGAAGTCAGGACATGTCAGGAATGGATAGTCAGACATGTGTCTTATTCCAGTTGGTGTGTTATGCCTAGCCCCAAACACGGAACCTTCCTCACCGTATTACTTGCCTCTAGGCAATGGCCTTTGGAGTACAAGACCTTATCGCTGAGCTTCGGGAGGACTTGATCGGATCACTTGGTTCTCTGCATTGATTGTGCGATTGAAATGACAATCATTTGGTTCTCCTCAGGCTCACAGAACCTTTAAGTTGGTGGTTTCCACACATTCAGCAGCGGCCCGTGCTCCGCTAGGATTACAGCCACGTGCAAGCAGAGGTGGATGCGATTTTGCGCCGTTTCTTCACTGCACGGATTGGCATGCGCTTCTTGCTCCAGCATCACATCGAGTCTTTCAGGCTGAGAGTTGAAAGAGCCCAATTTGGAGTCGTAAGGAATAGCAAACGTTGTAAAACTGTTAGACCTTTCTTCTTTTTCTTTTTCCTTGTTTCTACTAGCGATGGCCTCCAACCTGTTGGCGATGGCCTCCAACCTAATAGCATTAAATAGCCGAAAGTACATGAAATAGGCAGCATTGCAGTGAGCCTTGATGCAGTCCAGCATGTGACACAGTAGGAGCCTTTTCACTTTTACATCTACAACGTGCGAAAAAATATCATGGCCAGGAATCGTGAAGGGCACAGCGGCATCCTTCAACTGGCCTGCGATCCGGAGGTGATTGCGCGGAAGGCAGTGGAGGGGTGAGGGATGGTGACGGGGTTTGTGAGAGGCGAAGGTCGTCGTCTTCGTATCCCAGAAAAGGACATAAGCGTGCCAGATAGGGCTCCTATTTTAGGAACAGATAAAACATGATAAAACACACATGGGCGCGGGTCAAAACCTGGCTGTTTTAAAATTACAGAGAGACCCTTTTCATTTTCGTAAGTTGCAAACATTCCGATCAAAGGAAAAAGTCACCCATTCCACGATGAGGTGCAGTTTGCATTTGCAAAGAATTAGGACGCTACTACTAGCATGGACGCAGGATAGCTCACGCTTCTTCAAGGAAGCTCCCCGCCTGAGGGCGCGGGGAGCTTCCTTGAAGAAAAGCTCGTACTGTTCATTTGGCTCCTACATTTTAAGGGAAAATAGAAGTTTCGAGTTCACCATAGACATACACATACATCATACATTGCACAGAGCCAAGTCAAAGGCAGCGGGAAGAACACATGGGACTCGATGCAGGCGGCCACTGACAGCGCGATGCTGTGCAGGGCATCCCTAGCACAGGCTCCACACATTGCGCCACATAGCAGAAATGATGAGTGCGATTTGTGCTTCCAAGGATAGCCGGGCAAGCTTTGAGATTCTTCAACCTGAAAACAGTCATGGACCAACTCAGAAGCATGAGCTTTGCCTCAGAGATAGTCATCATAATTTGTCGTTTCCAACTGAGGATACATCACACGAATCCTGGGACCTTTACCTATGTCCCAATGCACTTGCACTACATGCTTACAGAGGTGAGGTTGAGTTGCAGACCTGCCCTTGAGGGTCAGGAATCAGTTTCAGACATTCCAGAATGATGAGCTTTTGTATATATATATATAGGCTGCAAAGGCCTACCCGACATCCCCAATCGATACTTGTATATATAGTATTTGTATCCAATGAGGGAGAAAGACAGACTGAGGGAAAGGTCGCCCAGTTGCCTAGTTGGCATAAACACACTCCGCTGAGAAACTAGGACCCAAAAGGATTTGAATCAGTTGGTGAAGACATAAAAAAAGAACATGACACACTGAGCACAAAAGGGAGACCAAGAGACGGGGAGGAGAGAGGAGGAGAGAGAAACAAAAAGCCATAGAAGCGTGGTCTTCATTCACATGAAAGTAAGAGGAGGTATTGGAATTGGAAGCTGTTGCAATGAACATATGGGCCGCCCATCGGCCTCAGTTCATCAGTTTTGACCCGGTTCACACCTTGGAGCACTTCTCTTTGCAGGAGTCCGGTTGAGTTACAGCATTTACTAGGTCATGTTAAGGTCAAGTTTGTGGCCTTTTGTTCCTCGTTTCCTCAGTCAAATTCCGGTTGTACCTGGTGGCCGATTTGTTTCTTCGCAAACCCGGTGGGTTTGAGGATCCTGATCTTCCACCGCTTGCAGACCGGCAGGTCTTCAAGAACAGCTGCCGAGCCACCGTGGAACGGCACGCCGAAAGCTTCGATGATCCGCTGCCGAAGGTCCATTGTCACATTGTGCATGGTGACGAAGATGTCACGATGCTTGGCACGGCAGGGATCAGCAGGATCTTTTTTGGAAGGACACGACAGGGAGCAAATAGGATGATTGGCCTGTTAAGTTTCCCTAAGAATCTAAAGGGCCAACACATTAATGCGAGCTCTTCTTCAAGGAAGCTCCCCCCGCCTGAAGAAGCGTGAGCTATCTTGCGTCCTAGCTAGGAGCTTCCTATTGCTAGTAGCTCACTTCTCCCTTACTTAATTGTGTAGGCGCCTACTAAATTTATTAGAGAGGGGGGGAGCTGGCCAAAGAAAAGGGAATGACAGTAGAGAAGTGATCTACGTTGTTGCAGGTCCAACGCGCCTGAGTTCTTTCTTCAATAATTTCAACCCGCATCTACGTGCAAGCCTGCTAGTGCATGTCTGACCAGCTGTACATCATCTAAGGATCCGCATCAGCGACGAAGGAGGCGGTATTGCGCGCGCAGCCTTGCCCAATATTTGGAAATTCATGTTCACGACGATGAGAGACTTGGCTCAAACTGCTCACGACAGCCGACAACTGCAATGCCTACCGATATCTCGTAGTGCCATTTTGTATCAATGACGTTGTGCATGGCATGGTCAAATTGATGCTGCATGGCTCATCCTGCTGTCGTCCAGCTTTTTTTGTTCATGAAAGACAAGGCTTTTCTTATTGGTTTGTAAAGAAAGACAGAAAGACAGCAGAAACTTGTCTCTCATGGTTTTTGCCTTCTCAACGATCCGACCGTGCGTTGCTCAGAAAAAACACCTTGGTCTGGACGAAGGCGCCTCCCGAAACGAAAGCATGCAGCACGATGGAAGGAGTATGGAGTCCCTCCGGAGCACGAACACCTTCTCCAAGTAATTTCCACCTTCAAAAAGCTCATGTTCACCTCATTTTCATCGAAATTCCTCCAAAAGCTCTTCACCGGAGTCCATGTCCGACACTCGCTTTCCAAACCAAAACGAAGAGTCGACCCAACCGGACTCTTCCGTCGGAGCTCGGCCGTCGACCGCCTGCAATCCGCAGGGATGACTTCCGCACGAAGCCGGGAGACTCCGCCTGCAATCCGCTGCAGCGTCGCTTGGGACGTACGTGAAGGATGTTGAAGGAACGAACGAGCGAACCGAAATCTGCAGACAGTTTGGCTGACTCATTTGGGTCGTGCTTTGAAAGTTGCGGGCGCCGCGCACATGTTCTCCAGTGCAGCTAGGTTCCAGATTCACTATCTACAGCTAGAAGTAGTCTTTCTTGGCACTTGTTTAGCAGAGAATCTTTTTCCCGATCGTTTCAAGATAATTTATCCATATATAACATATACATAATATGAGGTATATAGATACTTGAGAGGAGGGAGACACGAAAGGTAGGACAGCGGGAAGAGAAGAGAACGCGAGAGGCAGGAACAAAAATGCAATGTTCGACATGGTGATTTATCCCCTCGGAGGCGACCTTTCGTAAATATATGTTCATATGCACTCTAAATGTTCAAACATATGCTCTCGAAATGTTCAAAAAGATTCTTAGGAAAACAAATTTGCCCCATGGCTCAGATCATCGGTGAGCATTGAATCGGAACATCATAGGATTTGAACTATCCTGAAACCATAAGAGGCTCACGAAGACGCTCCCCAGAAGAGAATTGACGTGCTTCACAAAACAAACTCTAGGTATGTATCCCCTCGGGGAACACCTTTCGTGATTAGAATTTCATATTCACTCTTTCTGAATGTTCAAGAGGGTTTCAACTATCCTGAAATCATGAGAGGCTCACGAAGACGTTCTCCAGGAGAGAATTGATTTTAGAGGGGGGGAGGGGGGGGGGTTGTAATTGATAATTCAATTCGAGGGGGGGGGGGGGGGGGGGGTCTGAATTGAGCGATCAATTATTAGACCCGGACGTCCCAACACTTGCTTCGCAAGACAAACTCAAGGTATCCCCTAAAGGGCTACCTTTCGTGATATGTATACATTTTATTAACATTATCATTATTATTACTATTATTGTTATTACTATTTTCTTTTATGTTTTCTATTTTTTCCTTATTTGTCTATCAACTCCAAGGTCCAAAGCAAGGTGGTGTGCTTGCAGGGTGTCAGCCCTAGCCGTTGAGTGCAAATTTGATGCGCCAGGCATGTCCTTTCTGTACTGTTTAAGTGTGTTTTTGCTTTTGCATTCCAGAATGATAGGCCACGCTAACAGGTGATGGAGGAGAGACTGACCCAAGTTTGAGTCCTTATCCTTTTCGAAAAGCACCCTTGTAGAGTAGATTTGCCAGACCCGCCAGAGACCCTGATTGGGACATGAGATATGATGAGATACTGAGATACCCGTTTGGTGGAACTAGGGTGGCAGTTAGCGCAGTGAGACTGCTCGGAGGTTTGGAGTTGGCCTGACATTGAGCCGGCTCTATGCCCAATACTTTGGAGGGGACATGAAGATCTTGTCCCTGGATGGGTTCGGCACGGACGTGTGCGCCTCCGTGCTAATGCCCCATGTGTCACAAGTAAGGACCGTTTTCTGATCCGTGCGATGACAGGTCTCAGTAAGGGTGGTTTAAAGCCGGTGACAAGGACAAGCACCGGTGGGGCAGGTACTTGCATCTGAATCGGCTGGGAACAGCCTGCGAAGACCTGCCACAGGCGACGCCAACCAACGAGAGTCATCACGAGAGTTCGATCATCCAACGACCACGAATTAGGTCAACTTCATGGTTTTGATAACCTGACGTTGAAGTTTGGTAGAGCCACTTTTCACCAAACCCAATGGACAGTTTTTCAAATAACAGCTTCTCCTTGACGCGCACCATGTGCTGCAAGTCCCAAAATGGTGGTTGCAAAAGCACTGACAGGTCCGGTGTAGTGGCTGGTCCACTGGTCCGCAACTCCCAGCTCTGGGACTCCGCAGCGGAATATTTCTAACATGCGAACAATGATAAGTTCTATTCATGCTCCTTGAGAAGTTCTATGCTCTGGGACTCTATTCATGCTCCATAAGTTCTTCATGCTCCTTGATAAGTTCTTGATAAACTCTGCTCCATTGATCATAAGTTAAACAATATTGTTCTTTCCAGCTTGCCTGAAGGTGGATGATAGGCTTTCTTGGGTTCCAAAGAATGCTCATGTGGGCACTGCGATTGCCAGGGCGTGCTGTACAGCCCGTCCATGCGTGACTCCTCTCCCTTGGAGGTCGAGGCCGGACCCTGTGGGTTGTGGGCCAGGGTGAAACAGGATTCTGTCCTGCTCTAGCCACATATGCGAGTGGTTCTGAAACCATTCAGGATATGTTCAAAGGTTTCATATGATACTTGTGTCACCACAGCCAAGATTCAGTGCTTGAGCAACAAGCAATCCACGGACTCCGATTTCAATGCTTCAGCTGCTTTGATAGCTGGTGAGGAGCAGCCTCTTTCGGCCGATGAAGAGGCCTTCTTGCGGGGAGAGTCTGCACCTCAGCGGGAGTATTCACGTCAATCGGCGCCATGTTTCTTTCATTGTCTCTTCCTTCACTCACCTTTTGAGCACATTGTTTCGGGCACTGAGGGACAGGTACAAGTCAACCCGGCCATACCTGTGACAACGTCCAACTTCCCAGTTGCTGCATAGCCCTGCCTTGTTGAGGCTCCAGGCATACCGCACTCGGCGTGCGAATGAGGCGGAAGAGGAACTGGAAAAGGAACTGCATGGGGAGAGCAGATGACGCCAGGGTGGAGTGTTGGTTGTTGCCCCTACCCCAATCCTGCTTTTGATCCTCCTGCGCGACTGTGTGAAGAACTACTGTGAAGAGGCCATTGCCAAGACACCAAATCTAGGTCAGGGGGGACTGCGGGGTGTTCGATTGCTTTGATTACTTTGCAACCTTGACGTGATGTGGCTTGAGCCAAACCAGCTGGCAAGCGACCAGCCAGGTTCGCCCAGAAGTGGCGACAATCCCTCCACAGATCGTTGGTTCAGTCCTAATCAGCATGTGGTCAACACGCCAATCATGTCTAAACCAGACTCTATCGTTTTGGATTTACAAATCACCCACATCACATCACTCACCCACGCTTTTTGGCCTTGAAACCAGCCAAGTCAGACTTGCCACGCGCAGCGGCCGCGTTCAATGAACAATGCCACCGGGACCGCTCCGGATGATGATACTGAGAGCTTCAAGTTGGCCCTCACCTTTCTCTGTATCGCAGTGCTCACTTTTCTTTCGCAGACTTTTACAGGCAGGGCATGCAGGATCAGGGTACTTGAATATCCACCATCCTTCAAGATCAGTTTCTGCCTGATAGATGAAATGAAACCCTACGACTCCCAGTCATGGGTGATCCTTCCATGATACTACTTGATCGTTCTACCATGTTTACCATATGCTGCTTGTGATGCGGCCTGAGGCCTGAATATTGGGCTGATGTCCCTAGATACCGCCCAGTTGAAAGTTCTGATTGATGTGCCCAATAAGGACAGATCGGCACGCTTTTGCTTTATCGCTTTGGGCCACAGCACCTGCCTGAAAAGCTCAACTTAGGGCAGCAGTGGAGCTAATCATGGTCCAAGTGTGCAAGATTTCTCCCGTTGATTCATTATTTTGTTTTGACTTGTAGGACGAAGCAGCTATGGATGCAGCCAGATATGCAAGATTCTTGCCTCCAAAATGAAGCCATGGTTGACTTTCTTTCTGCCACTAAAGGGAGGCAGCTCTCATCAGCTTTCTGCCCCTATTTTTAAGCTTGTAAACTGCTGCACAACCGACATGTAGATGATCAACCAACATTTGTTTTGTCACATTTCATATTTAAAGATACGGTGACATTCTCATCAATCTTCTAAAGCTTGGCCTCAGGAAAGATTTTGCCACTGAGACAGCAGGGCAATTTGCTGCTTTGCACGATCCTTTTGGGGAATACTGCAGTGAATGCTGCAATGGCACAGTTGCTGCTTGGTTTGTAATCCATGGTCCCCTTGCCAGAGGCTTTTTCAATGTGGGTTGTAAGGGGAGATGAAGGAGCTGGATACGTGTGGGAGACTGTTGTTCCTGGGATCTAGGGATTGAGCTTGATGTTTTTGTGACGTTCTACACTCAGGCTGGCTGACTACGCAGGCGCTGGTCTTTTGAAGCTAGCTTTAGTCATTTCTGCAAGAAGGAGTGGTGTTCAGCAGGTGCAGCTCAGGATCTACACAACGGAAACACACTGATATTGCACACATTTGGTGAGGATGGCATGAAGGGCCCAGACTCATCTGCAGGTGGTTTTATTGGCTTTCTGCTGACGACTGCCATCATTGTGATCCTTTGCGAGATTGCACGGGCGCTCAGGACCAAAGAGTTCAATCTCTTTGTGTGGAGTTTGCTTCTTTTCTGGTCGATTTGTACAATGCACAAAACCTCGAAACCGCACTACCTTGAGCACCAACAAATCTGTGGTTTACTGGCTTGGATGGATAGTACGTTTTCTCCTTGTCTTATTCAGTCACCCCAGGTTCCGCAGTCTGTTTGCACTCGGCATGGCCTTTTCTTGGGCGCTGCCGGGTCTCCCATCATCCGCTTGGCAATGCTCCTCTTCTATCCCATCACAAAGCCGCAGCCTGGCGGAGTTGGAGCAGATGGCCACGGGGACGAAGCCCACTGCTTAGGTGTGCGGTCGTTCCCTGTGAGACTTGATTCCTCTCCAAAGTCAAAGCTGGCAATGAATCCTTGAAAAAAGATAACCAAGTGGCGGGCTCTTCAGCCGGCTTTGGAAGTTCTGCTGCAACAAGAGACCCTCAAGTCAGGGTCACAGGACCCTGACTTGCAGTATGATTTGAGGATAGTGAAGGGGCGGAAACGATACAGTCGGACTGTCTCTTTTTGTCCCTTTGAGGTCCCGTTCATTCATGGGAGGTAACGTAACGAGGGCCTTGGAAGAGGCTCAAAAGAATGAAGAGTGATAGGAGAGAGAGGAAGGGGGCCGAAAAAGAAAGCGACTACCAGGAACTACCATCTCACCTCAATGATAAGTTATAGCTAGAAAGGAAAACATGCGCTGTACGTAACTGCAAAGAGCACTCCTGAGGTTAGTATCTCAAAGCCCCTTGGTACTGCCAATCCCACGATGTTTCAGTGGGAAAGTTGCACAGAATCACTGCGGGAAGTGGTACCACTCGGTGATCAGAGTTCATTGATGGTGATGGGGGACACTAGGGTTGGCACGACCACAGCAAAGGTAAAGTGTATAGCCGCAACCGTTTATCTCAAATGATATGTCAAGGTCTGAGTTCGTGGTTATGTGAAGTAGATTGCGATTTAGCAGCTGTTTTACCCCGCAAAAGCAGTGCCACGCCAGGACTCCCACTCTGGTCAGAGATGTTGTTCAAAATTGTTCAAAAAATTGATTTGCTTGAAGAATGATGACACTTGAGGTGAATTGACGTCTAACCAACCCTGGTGATGAGTGCCATGACTTGTCATTCCTCGCAAGTCATGGCATTCATCAGGCAGATTGGTGCGGACTTACAGACAGCATCTGTGGAGGAATGGGCACCCTTTGCGACAGGGGCAAACAACAGCCAAAATTTGACTGTTCTTTGCTCTTTTCGCAAAACGGTGCAGATTCCTCCGCAAATGCTATCTGCAAGTCCGCACCATACCCCCTGATGTTTCTGATTTGTTATATTTGGGGTGCTTCCGGTCTGTTGAAGGAAATTTCGATCAGGTTCAGAAGGTGAGTGACTTGAAAGATCAACTTTGTTTTTCGCAATGGTTTCTTGGAGGAAGAGTTTGGTTTGCAAAATTGTTTTCAGCAGATAATGGAGCAGTAGGTTTGAAAACTGGTTGCTGTGTCAATTGGGCCGAGGTATGCTCTTGTATTGGATCGGCTCTTTCCCCAACGAGAGCCTTGACCTGCAAAAGGTATCAAAACGTGATCTTTGAGATGCGGGTCAGTGTCCTGCGGTTGCAAGCTGTTCAACTTTTCAAACTTGTTTGGATAGGTTGGCGGTTTACAACGCCTGCAAGTTTTGAAAAAGCTGTTGTTCCGGACATCGGAAAGCAAGAGGAATCTTCCGCACACTCTTTTTTTCACGACACCTTATCATGAGCTCTCGTTACTGACTCGGGCGCTGCAAAGGAGAACTTGTTGGACCGGAGCCAGCTCCAAGCACTGGTGGAATACCAGAAGTCTGCAGCTCCTGGCATGCTGGCCGAGGGACAAGCAGAGATGCTGATAGGAACCTGGAAGTTCTTTGCCTGCGGTCATCAAGAAAGCATGTTTTTTCATTGGCAAACGGACTGAGAAGCCGATGCATTGCATCCTTCGCAGGAGCCCTGGGCATGGCCCAGAAGACAGTCTCGGAGGTCATGGTGAAGCTGGATGCAGCCTGCAGCCTGAGCCCCAAGGCGGAAACCGTCGGGCCGGTGGTTAAGCCGCTGTTAAGCCGCAGAGTTTGAATCGAACTGTGAGAGTGAAGCGGTTCAAGCCCTGAAGTCTGAGCTGTTTGAACCCCGTCTCCAGCGACAAGGAACCAAGAAATCGAAAACAACAAGTAACAATGTCATGCCGCAAAGGCTCCGTGCGAAACGCCTCTTCCCTGCCAAGACGAGAATGAGTTTCGGTAACCCCTATGGCGGTTTCGGCATGTGACTCTTTTGAAGTGCGCCGGCAACCCACTGTGTTTCGTAGCAGGTTTTGTCGTTTCCCAAGTCAAAGGGTGTTCTAGAGTCAGAGTGGGTTTCCGGGACTTTAACAACCGCACCCGCTTCATCACCGTGACACTGGGTTGATCACAACGTTGTGAGAAGTTGCGGACATGATGATGACGGTGGTGATGATGTTGTTGTTGTCGTTGTTGCTGTTGTGGGCTGCTGCTGCTGCTGCTCAAACCCAAGTCTAAAATCTAATGAATCTAGTGCTCACCCACTGCATGATGAAAAACATCGGCACTACGGCTAAGCCGAGATATTGCAGCGGTTGTACCCTTGATGTTGTGAATTTGTTGTCTGTTTGTTTTGTCGTAGGCTTGTCTTTGGTTTGTTGTTTGGCAGATGACGCTCCAGTCCTCGTGCTTGCAATGTGACCATTTCCCATCAAGGCTTCAAGGACCCTACACTTGCAGCAGACAGAGACACAACTTTTGATTCCCTGCGCAAGGAGTGCATGGTATTCACTCTTTCATCCTCACTCCCTACCCTAATTTATTCTTCGATGCCAGCGTCGTGGCTATGACGGTTGTGAAAGCGATGAACGTGTTGCGAAAACTATGAGTTTGTTGCAGCAATGTACAAGCATTCTGTCAAGCTAATCAATGGTGCAAATTTGACGACAAGATTGGAGTGAAGCGGATGCACTGGCAAAAAATAACATGAATACGGCAAAGGCCACACACACATATATATATATATAATATAATATATAATATATAATATATATAATATATATATATATAGATAGGTAGATAGATAGATAGATAGATATCTATTACGAAAGCCAGCCGATAGGCTAGGCTTGAGCTCTTAGAGCAAACGAAGTGAGTTAAGGGGGAGAGGGTGAACGCGGAGCTTGCTGGGGGAGAGCGCTCCAAAGCGAGGGTCAGAAAAGCAGTGAAAATAGGGTCTGGTGATGCGAGTGATGCAATGGACGCCGAGTTGTGCATCATTAGCATCATGAAGGGGTCTGGGAACAATTTTTCTAGTCCTGAGCAGGGCATAGGGACTGTGTAGCTCTGATCATACCAAGAAGGACCAAGCAACACAGAGTGAACGCTCTGGCAGCGAACGATGTGAGCATGTCCAGTTGGGCGAGGTAGAGGCTTGGGGATAAGAGCGCCGCAAGAGGAGAAGCAAGAAAGCTGCAAGCGTTCAACACTTCATGCTGTGCTCCGATCTTGATCTCAGTCGCAGTGATACCAGCTCCACGAAACCACAAGCTTTCAACTATAGGTGCTCTGCTATTTTTTCCTCCCAGCCCTGCTCTCTATAGGGCTTCGCATTGATGCACGATACCCGAAACACACTTCAACGCAACCACAAAAACCATTTCGGGCATCATTCTCCTGGTGTTTACTGACGTTTATTTTTGCATGGACTCTCAAATAGAACACCAACAAGGGACCAAGCAAATCAAGAATACTAAAAGCATTCAACACTTCGTGCTGTGCTCCGATCTTCATCTACGTCGAACCATTCAAGAATGAGTGCTCTCTTTTTTTTCTCCCAGCCCTGCTTTTCAAAGGGCTTCGCACTGATGCACGATGCCCGAAACACATTTCAAAACAACCAAAAACCATCTTTCGGGCATCCTTCTCCTGGTCTTCACTGACGTTCATTTTTACACGGATTCTCAAGTAGACCACCAAACAGGGACGCTCCAGAGAGCACCGCGCCAGGATAGTCGAGAAAACCTCAAACATTCAACACTTGATCCTGTGCTCCGATCTTGATCTATTCCACGTTGATACAAGCTCCACGAAAGCTACAGGCATTCAACAACAAGTGCTCCGCTATTTTTTCTTCCCAGCCTTGCACTACCATATTGGTCTCTCAAATTTCGTCCTTTCCTTTCTATATAGGGGCTAGTCTGAACCCTGGAGATTAGAATGTCATCAAATCGCCTTCCTTTTTTGCACAGGATATCTTGGACTATGCCTTCATTGCACAGGTGGTTCAACAAGGTTTCAGCCGCTTCCCAGTTGTGGAACCCAGCTCCGGACAGGCAGGAGACACGAGACGAAAGTGACTTGAATAAGTGTCTTCAAAGTCTTCAAACGTTTCAACCAACAAAGGAAGGGACAGACAAAGAACGTCTCAATGATGAGTATACAAATCCACGTACAACAAAGGCAGAACAACTGTTTAAACAGCAATCACAAAGCGGCAGCTCTTTTGCAACACCTTTCTGACTACTGTATCTCTCCAGGTGGTGGGCTTACTCCATTGCAAGGACTTGCTCTCCCTTCGGGACCCGGATTCTGGGTGTTGGAAGAGGGCAGATCCGTGGGTTTGAAGATGTTTGAAGGTCTAGCCAAATTTTGGATCCAGGCACTTGGCTAGCCTAGAAAACCAGACACGTGGAAGACTTGGAAGACACTTTTTGACCAGTTCTATCATTCTATCTGAAGCGTTTTTTGCTTTTACAGTCTGGGGGTTTGAGTCGACCAGAATGGTGTCCCGTTCGAAGGAAGTGCTTTGCTTTGGGGCCGATTGCTGGAATTGAGCCAACTTAACAGCATCCGAATGTTTGGGGTTTCTTTCTCTAAAGTTTGGTTTGCCATAGGCGATGGACAGAAGTCCAGGATATTTGTTAGTTGGATCCGGTTCTGAAAAGAACAATAGCAGACATGCAGTGCGGACACCCTGATCACGTTGCAGAAAACAGTTTTTCGACCCAGATTAATGCAGTTTTCGTGAGCAGATTTTGACTGAAGTTCTCCACCTTGGGTGGAAGGCCCTGAGGGTGTCCCATTCTGTGAATTTTGGGTGAAACCTTCGGGCGCCGGTTTGCCATGACCCACACATTATCGAGGGCTGAAACCTAAGGAGTACGACCACCTTGAAGAGGTGCGCGGTAGATCTGTGCCTTGGACATGAAGCTGATGTGTTTCTAACATCAAGAGACCGAAGGTGATATTTCTTGTGTTCTTTCTACAAGTTCATTCAGCAACACAAGTAAAGATTTTTGGTACGTGGCCAATACATACATGGATCACCCTATCCTTTCTCACCCTATCCTTCCCCGCCCCTTAGGACATGAGCTATATGAATGTGTTTCCGTGACAACAGAGAGTGATAATTCGGAAATCCGAGGCCACGGTGGGTGAATTGCTCGAGGCCTTGCGGCAAGCGGGTCGTGAGCGGATGCTTGGCTAAGCGCAGAAAGGGACCCTCGGTTAGACCCGTCTTTCTGCACGGTGCGGCAGCTCACCCTCCGGAAAGGGACAAGGCCAAGGATCAGGTCAAAAGCTTTCTGGTTTCTCGAGTTGGATTGCACTTCGCTTCAAAGCAGGGAAAAGATCTGCTGCACATGTTCAAAGGCATTCAGTCATTCATTCCACCAGTGAAATCAACAGTTCTGCCACATGTGTTGTCCACATGTTGTACTGCAAGCTCTGTAGTCCCGCCCACACCACATCTATCATCCCTTCTACATCACATCCTACAGATCCTATCATTCTTTGATGTGGCAGCTTCAATTCAAAACGGACGTGCAAGACGTCGATCGTCTGTTCTCTGTTTTGTTTCCGTCGATGCGACCGGATGCGACCGGTTTCTGTAGCTCTTTGCTCTCGCCATGAGGGAGGTATTTGTGTGCGGTGAAGACACCACCCTCATGGCCCTGCTGAGCGAGCAGGGAGCCCAGAAAAACGACCAGGGACTGAAGGCAAACGTCGAAGGGTTCCAAAGGTAGGATGAATGAGCATGATAGTGATGCCTACAGTGATAGACGCAACGAATTGCAGGTCGACATGTCTGGATGCGTTTCGTGGGCATTTGGGCTAGAAGTGTGCTCAGCAACCCTTGGGTGACGCTTGCCTTCGTTCTTGCGTTCTGCTGTGCCATGGGCTGTGCGGCCAGCGCCACAGCAGTGACCAACTTTTCCAAGGTGGTTCCAGCTGACAGGTCTGACGAGGCTCTCGCGGCCACCACGCGTCGTGGACGTTCCAACCCGAAGAGTATCAAACGCTCCCAAGTCCATCAACCTGACGAGCAAAAGGCTGTACAGATGGTCCAGAGTGCTGAACCGGAACTTCCGGAACTCCCCTTCGACATCTCAGAGGAAGACCAGGTTGATTTTGATGAATCCAAGCTGGCAGTTTACAAGTCCTGGGAGTGGCCAGACCAAGAGGCTCCTGCGAATTTGCCCTTGCCACCCGGGCGCTATGATCATGAGAGGAACAACCGCCGGGTGCTGAGATTCGGACGCTCTGCACGGCGGCATCCAAGGGCTTTCGCCAATCTCATTGGGAGAGAGTTGGACGAGACAGAGAAAGGTGAGACTTGATCTCTCCTGGAGACAGAGAATCCTCCTTGCTGTCGGGCTGATGTGACACGCAAGTTCATCTTCACTTCGAAGATGCTCAGAATGCCGGGCCCGCTCGATTTTGTTTGCTTGGACCTAGCACGGTTTCAATGGAAGCTGGTTAGTGCCACATTTGTGAGATGTGTACTCAAAACGTTGGTCAGTTTGGACCCGCACATCATTGGTTTCTATCGACGACTTTTTAACCTTTTCTGTTGAGCCATGTCAAAGACCTCTAGTCGATCTATTAATTGCCACGAACGGATTGTCGTATGTATGTATGGTATGGTATGGTATGGTATGGTATGGTATGGTATGGTATGGT